CCCCCTTTTTTTTTCCTCCCTTTCTTTCCATTCCCTTTGCAAACCATTTGTCAGGGTGGGGTTTCACTGATGGAATGCAGACGCCCAAGGAGATTTTCAGAGGTAAATGGGAGAATCCTTGCAATGCAATGTCCCAAGAGGCCTGAGGCGAAGGCAGCACTGGTGCAGCACTGGTGCATCCCCTGCACCACAGGGTGATTTCTCCCTCCTCCCTCTGCAGCTGTGGCCAGCCCCACTTTACCAGGGACAGCTAGCTGGCCAAACATGGCATTAGGAACAATAAATAGCAATAATCTGTCTCGGTTTCACCTCAGTTTTTTGGTGATGAATGGCTGTGTGGAGGAGAAGCAGCTGCTGGTGGGGAGCAGAGTGGCTTCTCCAGGGTTTGTTGTTTCAGTCATGGCCTGAGTGGAAATGACAGCCTGGAGATGAAATATCTGCTGAAAGGAAATTGTGACTCTGGGTGACTCCACTTAGCTCCATGCCTGTTAAGAACTTGTTTTTGTTGGACACAGGAGCACAATTTCAACCAGCTTTGCACTTAAATGTCATTTCTGCCTGTCTTGGTGCTGTTGGGTTTGCAGTGTTGGAAGCTCTTAGACCAACCTGGGGCCTCCCAGCCTTGCCAGGTGTGGGTTTTTGGTGGATCTGTGCTGCTGTAAGGAATGGAAGCCAGGACACTGAACTGGGCTTTGCCATCCCACAGGGACAGGGGAGGATGTGGGAATGGGATCTGCTCCCTGTTCCAGGGCAGGAACCCTTCCTGTGATGGTGCTCACAGGGTTCTTGGATTGGGGAAGAGATGAGGATCTGACTCCATGTTTCAGAAGGCTTGATTTATTATTTTATTATATATATTACATTAAAACTATGCTAAAAGAATAGAAGACGAGATTTCATCAGAAGGCTAGCTGAGAATAGAATAGAAAAGAATGATAACAAAGGTTTGTAGCTCGGCTGTGTGTCTGAGCCAGCTGACTGTGATTGGCCATTAATTAGAAACAACCACATGAGACCAAAACAGATGCACCTGTTGCATTCCACAGCAGCAGATAATCATTGTTTACATTTTGTTCCTGAGGCCTCCCAGCTTCTCAGGAGGAAAAATCCTAAGGAAAGGATTTTCCATGAAAGATGTCTGTGACACAAACCCTCAGCTATGGGGACATTTTGCAGTCCCTGAGGGAGATGAGATGCTCCTCCTGAGCAGGAGATGTGGCTTTGCTCTGAAGCAGGACCCAGGTCCATGATGGGAGCACCACAGTGTGCAGGGCAAAGTTGGTTGAAATTGTGCTTCTGTGTCCAACAAAAATAAGTTCTTAATAGGCATGGACACCCAGCCTTGTTTCAACTCTCCCCAAACCACTCCAGTCTCTAAATCAACTTGGAAGTGATGCTATTTACAAGCCTACTTCTTTTGGCAAAAAGAAATAATGAGCAAGAGGGTGATGTTATTATTATTTCAGCTTCAGAGGAGGGAATGATCAGCTTTCCAAGGAATGCCAGCTGGGCTGAGTGCTGAGGGCCTTGCAGAGATACCCATCTCCCCTTAACTCTGGGCTCTGCCCTGCTGAAATTTCCCTGCCCAGGGAGGCTCAGAGGGCAGATCAGCAGGGAAATAGGATGCCAAGCCAGACACAGCTTCCCAACAGCTGGCTCAAACCTGAATCCATCATTCACTGACCAAGAGGGGAAGCTGCAGAAGCCCCCCAGCATCTCCCCCCAGGCAGCTGCAGCTCCCAACAGAGACCCCAGCCCAGCTCCTCATCTTCAGGAGACAAACCCAGCCCCTCTCCCACCCTGCTTTAACACTGATGAGCCCTCTGAGCTCCCTCTGCCCCCCTGCCTTGCTGTGAGGAGGGATCTCCCTGCTGAGCCCAGCTCTGCTCACTCCTGCACAGGGATGGGACTCAAACCTTTTTTAATCTTCATTTCTTGCTCTCCCTCCGTCCCTGCTGTTCAGCCATGCCCAGCACCCACAGGGGGATCTCCATCCATCCCTCCCTCCCTTCCCTGCTCCCTTTCTGCCCTACGTTCAGCCCCACCAGCCCTGTGGGGTGCAGGGAGCTGGCACAAAGCCATGGCTGTGTCTCCATCCCTCCTGAACTCCATCTCTTCCAGGAGAAGGCTTTGTGGATGTTTCCTGCCTTGCACTGCTGCTGAACCCCAAGCTCCATGGGCTGCTGATCCCCCCTCAAAGGCTCCAGAGAGTTCCCAGCCCCAGCCAAGGCTGCAGGACACCCACACATGACACAGATGTGGCAGCTCACAGAAAGGATTGAGGAGTCTCTTCCCCCTTTTTATTGAAAATTATTCCCCCTTTTTATTGAAAATTATAATTTCTATTCTAGGGCAAACACTGTACATTTTACATCACAAAGCAGGAGATAATTTACAGGGTGTGCTCCCATCTGGAAATCCCATGGATTCACCAATCATCCTTCCCTGCCATGCACAAAATTCCCACTTGGAGGGAACCAGTCACCTATTTGTCTGCTGGGAGAGGGGGAGCCTGAGAAAACAGGCAAGAGGAAAATGCCTTCAGACACATTTTCTGCCCTGAATGGTACCCAAACCTAATGAGAACCATGGTAACCATGGCAACTTCCCAGAGCTGCAACTGGAAATCCTGAATCCAGCTGAAAACCTGGAGAAATCCACTCTTTGAGGATAAGGCCCTTGATTTGCACATATATTTACATGGTTTAATAAAATACAGATTAAACACAGGCAATTCTAAAATTTCAGTTTGGCTTGATGGACGAGGAGTTGCTGTCTTTTGGCTGAGGTCACCAGCAATGAACAAACCAACACCAGAAGCTGTCTGTCCATCCAGCTGGAGCCTGGGCAGTAAATCCATGTAAACAGAGCAAGATTGGGGATGTAAAGGTCTAATCTGAACTGGCAACAGCCCAGCCAGCTGTGGTGGCACCCCTGGCCAAGCAGCCCAAGATGAAGCTCAGATTGGAGGTGCAGAAGCTCCCACAGCCTCCCTGCAGGAGCAGCCCCATGCAGGACAATCCAGATAAAGCAAGGAGGCTGGAAAAGGATGGGCACAGGGATTTGGGAGCCCCTGGATGTGGGGATGGAGATCTCAGCCCATGGCTGGGTCATAGGGTAGCTCCAAGCCCCCCTGATACCCTCAGAAAGTGCTGTCCCTACACAGACAACAAAAAAAGCTGCTCAGGGGGGTTTTTCTACAGCAGGAAAGCTGAGCAAAGCCTGGGGGAAAGCCAGAGGGATGCTGAAAGGTGAAAAGGAAAGAGCTGGAACTGCAGGGTGAGCTCTCAGGGGGGATCCAGCCAGGCTGCTGGCACTGCTGGGGTGGGCTCTGGAGGAGAGCACCAGCCCCAGGTACTCAACACCCAGCTCAGCCTTTGGGTGATGATACTCAAAGGCACTGGGTCCTTTCTGACCAATTCTGCTGTGTGCTTGTGTGGGCACAGGGAGCAGGAGTGAGTTTCTCAGTGCAGGCTGAGGTTTCCAACATCATCACCTGGCCCTAGGAGCTGGACCTGCACTGTGAAGGACAGAAATATTCTGGTTTACACAGGTGAGATTCTCCAAGAAAAGGGATCAAACAGAACGTGATGGATTTCTTAAAGCACAGTACTCACCCTGCCTCCCTTTTCCTGGTTCTGCCTGTGACTTTCAGCTTTTTGTCCTGATCAAAATTAGGGTTTTTCCCTCAAAAATACCCACACTGAGAGGAAAAAAAAAAAAAAATCCAGCAGCAATGCATACAATCACAGCCACAACTCACTCCAGTTTGGATTTGGGGCTTTTCCCCTTGTGCTAGCTCAAATATTTTTGGCTGGATTTCCATTCATCCTCTGTCAGTTTAATTTTCACCTATACCTTAAAGAGATTAATTCCTCATTTCCTGCAACATGCTGTTGTAGACAATCAGAGCCCGCTGTCAGACATCTCCACATGCCCAGAGTGTCTGCAGCAACCACCAGGCTGGAGAGCCAAGCCACTCTGGTATTTCTCATGGCTGAGCTCCATCCTCCTTCCCTGATGGTCCAGCCTGGGCCATGGAGCAGCTCTGCTGCCTTCAGTGGGGCTGTGCCATGGCCTTGCCCATCTCAGCTTGGACACAAGTGCTGTTTGTCACAAATCAACCCCTCTTCCTCCCTCAAACACGAGAGACAGCATCACCAGCAATGAGGAAGATCCTGATTTCCTCAGGATGTTTGTGTGGAAGTGTCGCAGACATCTTTTCATGAAAAATCTTTTCTTTAGGATTTTTCCTCCTGAGAAGCTGACAGGCCTCAGGAACAAAATGTAAACATTGATTATCTGCTGCTGTGGAATGCAACAGGTGCATCTGTGATTGGCTCATGTTGGTTTGTCTGTAATTAATGGCCAATCACAGTCAGCTGGCTTGGACTCTCTGTCTGAGCCACAAACCTTTGTTATCATTCTTTGCTCTTCTCTTCTTAGCTAGCCTTCTGATGAAATCCTTTCTTCTATTCTTTTAGATAAGTTTTAATATAATATATATAATAAAATAATAAATCAAGCCTTCTGAAACATGGAGTCAGATCCTTGTCTCTTCCCCAATCCAAGAACCCCTGTGAACATGGAAGAAATCCCTTTTGGGCTGCATCTCCTCTGCTCTTCGCAGAGATAAATTAATTAGGTGCTAATTAGGTCTCCAGAGCCCAGAGGGAGGACAGCAAGTAGGGGGAATGGTTAAGGTGATGGGACAAACCTTACTGAGCATGTGAAGGGATCTTTGGTGGGATGCTCCCTACTGAGACATCCCTTGTGCCCAGAGGGATTTCCCTGGCATATCCCAAAAGCCACATGAACCAGCAGGGGAGAGCCTTGCTGTGTTCTGTGCAGCTGCCCACGGGGAAAACCTGCAAAAAGGGAGTGTGGCTCCCTCCAGCACCACTCCTTTGGGGCTCCTCATGGAAACTCTCACGAGCTGCCTTTCCCAGAGCTGCCCAGGGAAGAGCTCTGCCAAGGCTGAGAGAGGCTGCGGCTGGAATTTCAATGCACAGCTCCACCTGGATGCAGCACAAACATCCTGAACGTTTTCAACGGGTTTTATTTCGTTTAATAAAAAACACCAACCAAGCTTGCATGTATTATCTTATATATATAAATATATACAGTATATATAAAACAAATGCATCTGGACAATGCCTTTCCCTGTGGCACAAACTGTAAGGCATAGGAAGGAGTGTCCTGACAGTCCTGATCTTGGCACTACAGAGAGATCCCCCTGCTCACACACCCCCCATGTTGGCTTTGCTCTCTTCTTTGGCTTTTTGAGGCAGCAGTGCAGGGAATGCTCAACCAGACAATGGAGCCCTGCAGAGCCCAGGGAGGTTTTCCAGGCAGCTCAGCCAGCAGGAATCCATCTTGCTGCACTAAATGGGCAGGCTGAGAGGAACGTGCTGCCTCTGTGGCACAAGGGACTGGAGGGATCAGGGTGGGGTGGGAATCGGTGACCAAACAAATTCTTCTTCTTCTAGGGTGAGCTGGGGCAGCGGGGAGATGAGCAAGCTTTGGATCTCAGCGTGCTGGGGCTGGGACTGCTCCGTGGGCTGAGACTGGCAGAGGTTTCTTTGTGCAGTCCCTCACAAAAATGGAAACCAGCAAGGGTGAGACTGTCCTTTACTGAAGAAGCTCGCAGTATATTGAGCAGAAGCAATAAACCCGACGATAACAAGAAAATAAAAAACGGTGGCATTATCCCAAAAGGAAGGAGGAACCTGATCACTCACAGGTTCTGTTTGCTCCCCGTGTTCAGTTCTGGGTGAGGGTTGGCTTTTTTTTTTTTCCTTCTTTTTATTTTTTTCTTTTTTTTTCTCTTTTATCTTGATGGTGTTTTCTTCTTCTTGTTGTTGTTCTCTTTTTCTTTCATTTTTTCTTTCGGCACAGACAAGTTGCAAAGCAGGACGGGTGCTGCTGTGTCTTCTCCTTCTGCAAGGCAGCTGCCCCCAGCTGTTAATTGACTGTGGGCACCTGATTCCTCTGTAAACTATATTCCTTTGCCTTCAGTCTCAGGTTGGCAATACTGTTGGCCATGTTCATGCCCTGTGCTGGGCTGGCGTTGGTACACGTGGCAGAGTAGGTGGCCATGGCACTGAGGGATGGAAAGAGAAACATCACGTCAGACTTGTGGCTCCAAACCACAGCAGAGCCTAAATTCTGGGTTTTTTCCATACCTGTGGGATGTAATCCTGCTGTGGTGTCAGCAGGGAATTACCACTCCCCTTTATTTAGCAAATCTTTCCGCTGCTCTTCACTCACCCAGCACCAGAGCTCAACGGGAAAAATTTCCACTTCCTATTTTCTAACCCAAAAAAAAAGGTTTGCAATGAGGTCAGCCTGCCAGTTAGACCATTGTCCTTAAAAGTATTCCCAGTGGAAGCAGTGTCTGTTTGATGAGACCAATTGCTGGTTTTACAGCCTGTGAAATCACGTCACTTCTGAAACACATGTTACATTAAAGCAACACTCTGGGAAAAACCCCTTTCAACAATTGGGATGTTTTCTTGTTTCAGCCTTTTGGAATGAAAATTTCCACATTTTTTCCCTCCTCAAAACTTCAGCTGATTATAAAGAGCATGTCCTGAAGGCTGAAGGAAGAAACCCAAAACATAAACCGCTTTGTCTCCCCTTCAAACTGCGACTTTATTCATGAAAAACATCACTTCTGACAGCAGAGCCTGAACAAAGATCTCCAACTCCTTTCTTATCCTACCAAAAAATCTGCAAAGCTGCTTTCCAGACCACTAGAAAACTTGTTCAATCCATGTGTCCCTTGGGTTTCTGTGAAAAGCAGCTCCCCCTGCCAACTCCCCAAAACCCAGCACAGTGTTTGACCTGCTGCATTTCCTTGGCATGGCCCACAGATCACAACCAGCTGAGAAGCACCACATGAAGTGGAGGTGCCCATTTAACACAGAGTGTTCAGGAGGAACCCCCAAATGCTCTGCTGGAGGCCAGCTCAGCTCTGGTGCTGACCTTTCCCATCTGCCTGCCCTGCTGGTCACAGCTGAGCCTCTGAGCAATGCTCTGCTCCATCCACACACCAAAACACCAAGGTGGGCTGGCATTTTTTGTCTTTTTGTCTTTTCCTTTATTTTATTTTATTTTATTTTATTTTTAAAATCGTTTTCCAGCACTGATCTCCACAACTGGAAACGCAAACAGCAAATCTCCCTGCAGGCACTGCTGCACAGACCCAGCCTGGAGCTGTGCCTGCTCACCCCAAGGTGCTGCTGGTATTTCTGACCTCCCAGAAGGTCAGGAAGTATTTCTGGAGTATTTCAGGAGTATTTCTGACCTTCTGGGAGGTTATCTGCCAGGAGTTCATCTGCCACCCAGTGCTGTGTGAACCCTCAGTCTGCAGGAGACCTACAGCAGGGAATATCTGCATTTCACCAGCATCCAGAACATGTGGATGTGTTGTTTCTGGAGCTCTTCTGAACCAGCTGCACCCCCTCATTCCCTCTCCATGGCTGGGCTGGTTGTTCTCCTCATCCCCCAGGTTTGGAGGGTACAAAGCTCCACAAGGTCTCCAGTTAATCCCCCATGCCCATCTGCTTCCACAGGGTGCATCTCTGTCACAGACATCTTTTATGAAAAATCCTTTGCTTAGGGTTTTTCCTCCTGAGAAGCTGGGAGGCCTCAGGAACAAAATGTGAACAATGATTATCTGCTGCTGTGGAATGCAACAGGTGCATCTGTGATTGGCCCATGTTGGATATTTGTAATTAATGGCCAGTCACCGTCAGCTTTGTTATCATTCCTTCCTATTCCATCCTTAGCTGGCCTTCTGATGAAATCCTTTCTTCTATTCTTTTAGTATAGTTTTAATGTAATATATATAATAAAATAATAAATCAAGCCTTCTGAAACATGGAGTCAGATCCTCGTCTCTTCCCCAATCCAAGAACTCCTATGAACACAGTCACACATCTCTCCTATGTTTTTGAGCTGGAAGAAATCTGGAGACCTTTGAGGGTACTCCAAACTAGATAAAATAGGAGTTTTCAGTCATGGCTGCAAACTGTCCCCATTCTAAACCAGTTTGTTGGCCAAGTCTGGGCTGAAACTCCAGGGAGGCTCTGGGAGCTCCCCAGAGGTGTGAGGATGGTTTCACTTACAGATGCCAAGTGAAATCCCTGCTAAACCAAGAATCTCTAGAAGTGCTTCCTTCCATCAGGTTATTCCAGCAGGAGCAGTGCACAAGAAGGCTGTGTCAAACACCAGAACAGCCTGAGGGTTGCTCCAGAGACTCTCCAGGGCCTAACAAGGGTTGAAGTCACCCTGCTGCCCCCTCCCTCCACCCCATTCAGGCAGGGAAAATTGTCTTTCCTCCACTGAGCTGCCTGCTTTCATGAAACACAGAGGAGCATCATGTTTCTGAGGACTAAACTCCTTCTTTCAAACAAGGTTTTCAGTGGCCCATGGAGCCAAAGGTTGCTGGAGTGGGAAGTGTGGGCTGCCAGTCCTGTTTTCTTAGGAACCTAGGCTGAAAAATGCCTAAGTAAAACATTTCTCAACTTCAAAAAAAAAAAAAAAAAGCATAGTATCTACTTGGCTGTCTGTGTGACAGAGATCTGCAAATAGCTTTGGTTGACCTGTGGCTGAGTGTATTTGGAGAATAAACACAGAGACTGAAAACTTTTCCCAGATCTGAGAGGGAAACCAGCTCTGGGCCCTCCCCAGGAGTGGCTGCTAATCAGGGGCTGCTCCAGCCCTGCTGGGAAGATGGGCAGGGGCCATGCAAACACTCCACATGGCTGCAGGGTTTCACTGTTTGAATATCTGAATGACCTTACTGCAAAGCTTTAATGAGGCTGAGACCCTTCCAGATGAGTGTGATTGCCAGGAGAGGGGCAGAAGGATCAGAAACCCAGGGGAGCACCGAGTGTCTGAGGGTGCTGTGCACCCCAGAGTGTGGAAAGCAGCTGCTCAGCTGCAAATAAATGCCTTTGCTGAAATATCCTGGCTGCAGACAAGACAAGGGCAAGGTGTGTCTGCATCCTGGACAGGCATAGCTGTTTCCAGAGGGGCTGGAAAACCATTCCTGAGGCTGGAAATCCATCCCCAAGGCTGTCCCTTCTCCCCTGTTCTCATTAGCACATCCCAGGTGCTGCAGGTGACCTCAGACAGCCCTTCTCAGGTATCCTTAGGAGTTACCTTTGCAGGGGCTTCTCCTAGCAATATTTATGGATCTCCCAGTTGATGTTCTCCTAGCAATGATTATGGATCTCCTAGTTGATGTTCTCCTAGCAGTGATTATGGATTTCCTGGTTCATGTTCTCCTGGCAGTGATTATGGATCTCCTAGTTGATGTTCTCCCGGCAGTGATCATGGATCTCCTACTTGATGTTCTCCTAGCAGTGATTATGGATTTCCTGGTTGATGTTCTCCCAGCAGTGATTATGGATCTCCTAGTTGATGTTCTCCTAGCAGTGATTATGAAGCCCCCTGTGTAAACATCATCTCAGGAGGGAGGATCTCTTTTTAGAAGTGTGAGAGGTGGAAATAAGCCATGAGCACTGAGTAGGGATGTGGTGCTGTGACCAGTGCAGTCCCACTGGGCTGGGGAAGGAACTCACTCCCTTCCCTTCCCTGACCTCACCTCCTCAGAATGCTACAGGAAGGAGCACTGCACAGGGAGAAAGCCTTAATCCATAAAAGAGGGATTTTGACAGCCAGCAGTCAACAGAAAAAAATACAAAGGATTAGGGCCATTTCTAAGATGCAGCTGGTGGCCACCAAAAGCATCCTTTCCCATATCTGCAGTGGGTGGGTCTATGACTTGTTCTTCTGGACATAAAGGGTGGATGAGGAGGATCCCCCAGACCTGAAGCAACAAGCAGGAAGACCAGACCATGTGTTTGCAGCTCTTGCTGTTCAAACAATGCTTGGAGCAAAAAGAGGGTCAAGGTGACCCAGCAAGAGAGGTCCTGAGCATGGTGTGGCACCTGGAGGGCAGTGGGAAGCTGGCAGTGACTAGGCCAGATGAACAGGAAGAAATCCAGCTAAAGGCTTCATGGTCCTGACCAACAATGAAGCCACTGTGCTAAAAAACACCCTCCAAGCTCCTTTTTAACTGCCTGTGAGCCAGCTGGCTCCCCACAAACCAACACACCCTGTGGAGCTCGTGTCCACACCCAGCTCCTGCAGAGCCAGCCATGGCACGGAGAGGATGGCACAGACATCCCACACCCTCTGAGGCTGCCCTTGCCACATCCCTGCTCCCTTCCTGCCATCCCTTGAGCAGCACTGAGCACAGGGGGTGGACGCTGAGCTCCAGTCTGTCACCTGGCCCTTCCTGCAGGGTGACCACAGTGCAGTGCTCACACACACACACTCCCCTGTGCTCAGGGAATAAAAGATCTGCTCAGCAGCCCTGTGCTGAGAGCTCCACGGGGATGGAGGGAGCTCCCAGCCTTGCTGCCATCCCCAGCAGAGGGACAGCCACAGAACTCCCTCTTCTGGCCACTGTGTGCTGGCTGAGCCTCCCCAAGTGCTCAGAGCCCCCTCTCCTGGATCTGTGTCCCATGGAAAGGTTTCCTCCTTGCTATAAACCCGATGCACTGGAGAAAACCTTCTGTTTCCATGCATTTCTACCTGAGCTTCTCTAGAAACTCCCTGAATTGCAGAGAGAGACCTCCAGAAGCTGCCAGAAAGACACAACAACACCGAGCTGCGACCACACTGGCAATGGGATGGTGTCACATTCGTATTTTCTGAAAAATCCCTTTGCCCAGGATTTTTCTCCTGGGAAGCTGAGAAGCCTCAGAGAAAAAGGAAAACAATAATTATCTGATTTGCTTCTCCTGTGTTTTGCTACTTTGGATTGTGTTTGGGGATTGTTTACCCACAGGTGATTGTTTCATTGGTTTCTGCATTGAATTATTTTGACTTATTGGATAATCAGTGCCAAGCTGTGTCAGGGGATCTGGAAAGAGTCACGAGTTTTATTATTATCTTTTAGCCTCCTGTAAGTATCCTTTCTGTATTCTTTAGTATAGTTTAGTATTCTTTAATATATTATAGTATCATAAAATAATAAATTTGCCTTCTGAGAACATGGAGTCAGATTCATCATTCCTTCCTACATGAGATTCATCATTCCTTCCTACATCAGATTCATCATCCCTTCCTACATCTGGGGGCAACCCAAATACAATAAGATGGGTGGGAACAGGTGAGGAGAACCAGTGGCATGGTCAGGCTGCTGTATCCTCCAGGTGTGGATGCGTCAGAGCTGTCTGAGGGTGCTTTTGGGGTGGCGCAGTGGGGTCAAGTCAGTCCCTCAGTCAGTGTGTCAGTCCCTCCCTGGGTCCCTGTGTCCCTCCCTCACCTGTAGGGCGAGGCGGTGCCCCAGGACAGGTAGTCGGTGGCCCTGGGGGCGGGCCGGGGTACGATGGGCTGCTCCACGGCCGCCACGTCGCCGGAGTAGGATTTGAGCAGCGAGGCATTCTTGCTGGCCAGCATGGCGCGCTCGTTCCGGCGGAACTTGGCTCTCCTGTTCTGGAACCACACCTGCAGGGGGACACGCGGGGACACCGACCATCGCATCTGCTCTGCCACTGGCCACGTCCCCATGGGATCCCAGCCCCATCCCCAAAGCTGGCTGCATCCCAGGCTGGCCCTGGGAACCCTAAGGATGGGATAATCCCGGTGCCTGCTCTGATCAAGCCCTCAGGTGAGGGGCTGGCTGAGGGACATGGGTGCATCCCATGAAGATGGCTATGGCAGTTGTATTTTCTGGAAAAATCCTCTTTGCCCAGGATTTCTCTCCTGGGAAGCTGAGAAGCCTCAGAGAAAAAGGAAAACAATAATTATCTGATTTGCTTCTCCTGTGTTTTGCTGCTTTGGAATGTGCTTGGAGATTGTTTGTCCATCAGGTGCATATTTGATTGGTTTCAAGTGAATTGTTTTGACTTATTGGCCAATTATGATCAAGCTGTGTTGGGGCTCTGGAAAGAGTCTCAAGTCTATTTTAGTATCTTTTAGCCTTTTGTAAGTATCCTTTCTGTATTCTTTAGTATAGTTTAGTATTCCTTAGTATAGTTTCGGTATAGAATTCTTTAATATAATATATAACATATAACATAACATAACATAACATAACATATATTATATTATATTATATTATATTATATTATATTATATTATATTATATTATATATCTTAAAATAATAAATTAGCCTTCTAAGAACACGGAGTCAGGTTCATCATTCCTCCCTTCCTCTGGGAACCCCACAAGTACAAGAGATGGCAGCAAGGCCTGGCAGTGCTGTCCAACACACCATGTTCCACAGTCTGCTGTCACCTGCAGAAGGTGCAGGCCTGCAAGCTGAGAGTTCAAGGTAACATCAGCAGCCTGAGCATCCAACAGCTTGGCCCTATGGACACATCTGGTCGGGCAGGTGGTGGATGGAGGGCAAGTCAGGCCTGGCAGTCTCCCTCAAGGCACGGTGGAGCCAGGAGCTTGGTGACCCTGGTGTGCCACACAGACAGACCCCAAGGATTTCTGCTGCCCTGCTGGAGCAACCCAATGATCCCCTAGGTGAGGTGGGAATCACCTGAATCATGGGATTACCTGAACTCTGGCCTCAGTGAGGTTGACTCTGCGTGCAAGGTCCTCCCGTACGAAGGCATCGGGGTAGTGAGTCCTCTCAAAGACCCTCTCTAGTGCCTGCAGCTGGCTGCTGTTGAAGGTAGTCCTGTTCCTCCTCTGCTTTCTTTTCTTCTTCTCTTCTGAGTTCAGCTGATCATCTACGAGAGACAATTGGGGATGGGAAAAGTGAGAAAGCCAAGAGCCCACAGCCACCATTGAGGGGTGAACGACCTCAATGGTTTCAAGAGGGAAAGGGCTTAGGAAGGGGCTTGCACAATTTTAATACATTAACCATGCTGGGTTACTCCCCACGTGAAGAGGAGGTGGAAAGTGCACCAATCTCAAACATTTATTTTTCAATTTCACTGTGTAAGACTTGTGCCAGATCTCTTAAGCTACCCCAGCTCTCAGCTTCCTTATCTCTAAAATGCAGCAAAAAAGCCCAAAATTCATCTCCCCATTCCTCACAATCCCAGAAAACTTTTCTGACAGCAAAGAATCACAAAGCACTGTTCTCTCTGTTTCAGATTTCCAAGGACTGCTCAGGCTGGGATGTAACAGCTCTCTGGGGTAAGAGCACACTCTTGGATGCTGCTAGTGAGGAGAAGCTGTGCCCTCTGCAGCATCCTCCTTGCTTTGCTGAGCCCAGCAAGGTGATGAACAACCACCCATAAAAGCAGGTATTGTTCTGTACCTGCTCAGAAATTAATCAACACATCTGGATCATGCCAGTATGTGTGGGGTGCCACCAAAAATCCACATTACCCTGGGGGGACCTGAGCCAATATTCATGTCAGCATTAAAGTGTATTGATCCCTTACTCCATAAAAATGCAGAAGCTAGGGAATCATATTCTAAGTTCATCCCTGCACACCTTGGTCCAGCTGAGTGTCACCACTGAGTGCCAGGGCTTGACCTGCTATGTACATAAGAACATCCCCCAAAAATCACTCCTTTTGCCGTGGACAATTATGACAGCTCCCCTTATCCCTCTCTTCTCCAGGGGGTATGTAAGGCACAGGGAGGGGCTGGCAAGGAAATTAAAGTCTGCAGTTGTTGTCCTCACCACCTGTTTGTGTTGCTTTTCACAGCCCATCTGGTACCAGTTACTGCACCTGAACACCTTTGGAGCAAGGCCCATCCATTTGAGAACAAAAGGACATTCCTCTTAAATTAAAGCACGGCTTTCAAATTCCTTCAGGTTTACAGTGCCTCCATCCCTAATCCTCCTCCAACAGCCTGATGATCCCCAGAAGGCTCCTTTCCAGCCTGGGGATTCCTGGGTGCAAAAACACACCCTTGGTTTTCCCGTATCCGAGAGGAAGTGTTTGGAGATCGGTTTTTAACAGGAATGCTGAGTCGTAAAGCTGAGCTGAAAAGGGACTGGCAGAGGCAGGAATGTGCAAGGAAAACAAAGGTATGAAGGAATTAAAGCAGGGCTACAGGTGAATCTATCAGCTCACAGGGATGGGATTGAAGTGCTGCTTGTGTAGAACGCCCTGCACATGTTTCTCCCTGCTGGGGGTTTAACGCCATCACAAGCTCCATCCCTTGTAAAGAAGGCAAAAACCCTGCATGTCCCTCTCTTGACTCATCACCAAACCCTTCTCAAAAGGGGTCAGCTATTTCCCCCTGGCTCTGCTGTGCACCACACAAGACAGCAAACAGAGCCTCAGGGCACAAATGTCCCTCCAAATGCCACAAACACCACAAGGCCAGCTGCTGGAGAGGCCAAAGACAACACGGCCTCCTTTGGAATTACCCACTTCATGCTATTCTCTAACCTAAACCCTGCCTATGCAGAGCATATGAACAAATCAATAAAAGCCTTTGGGACCCCTTCAGAATCCCATCCAGGCCTCTGAAGCATCATTTCTGCCCAGAAGACAACACCCGGCTGCACGGAACACGAGTTCAGCCCTTGCTTGGCCCTGCGTGACAGCTACGCATGAGGAGGGGTGAGCACATCCCTCCGGGGAGCAAGAAGAAGGGCCAAAGTCTGTAAAACACCAGAGAACAAGAATTAATTCCCCCTGCCAAGCACGTTAGCACAATTTGCCTGGCTTCCTCCCGGCGTAAAGCGAGACGCCGCCGGTGATTCACGGCTCACCTCGTAATTACCGAGCCCAAAAATAGCCAGGACAGAAAGTGTCCATGCTGGGTGACTCATGGCTGGGTCACTGCTGGCTAAAGCACCCCCAGTCTAGGCTGCCATGGAGCAGGGATGTCAGTCACCCCCTTTTTTCGGGACAGAGGTGACAGCAAAGCACAACCTGTGACAGGCAGCTCTGGAATTTTGGGATCTCCGATCACCTCTGGAACAGCACAAAATCCAAACCTCTACAGGAGTGATTTGGGTAGCAGGGGAAAAAAAAAACCAACAGGATATTAATCCAGAGCAGCATGGGGTTGGTTAGTCCTTGTGTCTTGCCATGTGCTGCTAAGGAGGGACTGCACACACCTAAACCCAGCCTGCCTGCCAATGTCACCTTGCTCTCAGCGCTCCCCGGCTGCCTCCAGCACATGAGCAGGGTGCTGCCATTATTTCTTCATCAGGAAACAACCCTGATGTTCTTCTACTCTGCCATTATTTCTTCATCAGGAAACAACCCTGAACACTAGAAAATGGTATTCCTGAAAAACGGTATTCCTGAAAAATGGTATTCCTAAATAGTGTTGACAGCACGAGTGACTAGGGTCAGCAGAAGTGGAGAGGAGAGGGAAACAGCTCTAAAGATTTTTTAGGTAGGCCAGAAGTCTTTTGTCAACGTTCTTTTAATCAGAAAAATTTTATGACATGCAGAGCCCTCAAAAGCTGAGCAGCTTGCAAATGTACCTCACAAAAAGACTGAAACGTGTGTTCTCCTCTCAGGAACCCAGTGCTGGAAAATCTGGGAATTCCATTGCCAAATCCCAACCTTCCACGCTGGGACTACGTTTCCTGTTTCCACATTTGCGTTTTCCTGTGCTATTTCTACATTTCCCCGTAACATGCAGGTCCTGGTGTCATACACAAGTGCACCAAAGCATTTTCAAGTGCTCCTAAATGATTCAGCAGGAAACATCCTGTTCTTTTTTCCTCTTGCAGCGAGGCGGATCCACACTTGCACCCACTCCAATCTCTTCTCCTCACCTCACAGTGTCTGTCCCAGTGCCTGTAACTATTGCTGGGGCACCACCAGGCAGCTCCTCTTGGGATGCCACATTGAAAAAAAAAAAAAAAACAAACCACCCCCAAAAAAAAACCCTAAAACAAAAAAACCCCCACAAAAATTAAATTAAATTTAAAAAAAATCAGAGTTGAAAACTAAATGCCTCCGTAGTAGTTTCAAAATTGGTATTTTTTCATCAACCACAACATACTTTAGATTTCCAGTTTGCAGGAATGCTTGTGCATACTTGCATTCATTCCAGGTCAGAAGAAAAGCTAATTTCCAGATGGGATTTACATTGTGTGGGCAGTTTGTAAAACTTTTGACCAGTTCTATTAAGTCCAGAACCAGCTATTATAGTTCATTAATTGGATCAGAATTGAAAGTAAACCATTGGATTTAATTAAGGGCAGGACAGAGACACTTAACCACAGTATAATGTATGGTAAGGCAGCAAAGATTTGTCACATCAGTTATAGAAACTGTAAACTGAGAAAGGATTCCAGGAAGAAAATAAGGAATCACACTCTAATCACACCCTTCAAAATAAGAAGCTAACGTTTGAACACAGATTTAAGAACAACCAAGACAAATGATTTCACAGTGAAAAAAATAATAAACTATAAATTAAAAAGGCAACAATTCAAAACTCTTAAAATATAAAAAAATACTGCAGGCAAGTGGAAGTTTTATTCAGACTGGTGGAGAAAGAAAGGAAAAGGGAGAATAGAAGGAGCAGGACTCTTTATTTGGTTTAAACTTCAATTTCATGAAACTTGAATATAAATATTTCTGGGTGTTCCCCCAGCTCTGGGCAGGCTCCTTTGCTCAACATCAGCCATCCAGTTTTTAGCCCATCACACACTCCCAGTCCACTTTAACCCACACTCTGCTTTGCTTTCGATTTGTGACATCCCTCTAAAAACACTGCAACGCTTCGCGTGCAGGGCAGCTTTGCCAACTGGCATCATAAAAAACTCAAAACCAAAACCCAGAAATGTTTAATCAAAGCAAAACCAAGGCTCCAAGCAGAGTAATGGGGGCACACAGAACCCACAGGGTGACAGAGCCCTGCCCCGCTGATTTGAGACAAGGCTCAGTGATTTTCCACCCCGCTCATCCCGGGGGCTCCTTGTCCACCAGCAGCATCCATTGTCTTTGCCAGATGTGAGCAGGGACAGAAGCGGGGCAGGGGGCCATAAATGGATAAGATTTCATGCCCAGAGGTGTCTGAAGTATCTTCCTTTCTAAAATCTCCCAGGAGAGAATGAACTCCAGCTCGTGCGGATTTCTGCGCGCAAGAGAATTATTTCCGAATAAGTTAAACAAGGTTTAACTTCAGGGCACACAAATGCTACAAAAAGAAGGTGTAGGGATTCCACAGCAGCCATCACAAATGTAGGCAATATGGAATGAAGATAACAAATAAAGGTAAATATGTTAAGGTAGGAGATGCCTGTTAAGTCATGTACTTCACTACAGCAGCGATAGCGAGCCCAGCTGTACAACAGTGAAAACAGCAAGTTTTTATTCTGAGTACAGGTCAGAATATAGAGATTTTTGAGCTATCATTTTCTTCTCATTAAACAACACCAGCTGAGCTTTTCTCCTCACCTCTACTGGGTTTTTTTCCTGCACTATCATAATGTTTAAATTATTTCAATTACACAGAAAATCAAGTATCCAAAGTTCCAGTCTTGTTGAGAGCATCAGGAACACAGGAAAAATAAAAGTGAAGAAACAGATGCTCTATTTCCTTTAAGAGCCATCTCTTGTGATTACCTTGCAGTCAAGTTTTGCACATAAATAAGAAGCTGTTCTGTGCATAAGCACAAAGCTTCAGAAAGGTGACACTGAATTTTTCATACTAAACCTGAGTTTTAATGTTAAACAGAAAAACATGCACATTTTCAGTGTTACCCGTGGGGCTACAGCAGTTCCTCTCTAAAGGGTCTGCAATGTGGGACCTATCAGGGTGATTTTTAGCTGCCTGCACACAAACAATT